CCCCCCGCCTTTCCCTCGTTCTCTCCTTCTTACCCTTCCCGTCCTCGCCCCGCGCCGCGTCTGAAAGCACCTGCTGGGCCGCGCGCTGCCTGCCGACCTCCATGCCCCTGAGCTTCGCCCCCTCCTTCCTCTCCCCAGCAACCCTTTCCCCCCTCCGCCCTTCCCCCTTATGTCTGCGTGGGGCCTCCGCTTGCCGTTCGTTGCGGCTATCCCCGGGCCGCCGCATACGTGCTGGTTCGTTGATCATCATTGTTGTCCCGTCGCTTCCTTGTTCTAGAACCACGTACAGGTTTTCGTTGTGAACTTATTCAAAAGTAGTCCGTCTCATTTGGGGCCTTCTCCTTTGTCCTGAGCGGTGTAGGATACGGCGGCAAGCGTGTCGACGAACCCACGCGGGTGTGGGCTGTGAGCTGTCAGGCTTCGGCCGGAAGAAGCTTTTGATCCTACTTCACGTGAGACAGCGGACAAGATAGTTGCGTGCAAGAGACAAGAGAGAAATGAGCGGGTTGGAGTGTGACGCACAATACTGGCACGTATCATAGAGATAAAAAACCACACAAGGGCGCCTGCACCTCTACCGAGAGCACGGATGTATTCATACAAACAACGCCGCTGCACGAGGTGCGCTCGGTGCGTACAGGGCAGAACATCGCCCGCGACATTGCAACAGAATGCACCATGTGTGAGAGCATAATAGAGCCGGTTTGGCGGAAGGAAAGGTCGAACGGCTGGCATGCATAGGAGGGAGCGCAGCATCTTATCGCACGCCATGCAAGGCTGTTTACCCCGGTCGATCTTCCTGCAGCACGAGTGGCTGCTGTGTGGCAGCAGCGGTTGTAGCATATGGCTTATTTCACACACCTGTCTGTCTTTGCATGAAACTGCTTGCTGTGCGTACCAGCACCAAGGGCGGCATGAAACTGCTTGCCGTCTGTACCAGACAACAAGGGGCGGCATGATTTTTGTGCACGCGCAAGATTTTCATACCGCGGCAATCACATGTGTATGCTGCTGCCGAACAAACTTACAGGAGTACCGCAGGTGGTGACGAAGACAAAGCACGGCGAGAACCCTGCTCACCTACTCACTTTTCCTTTCTCCGCCAAGGCAAGCCGACCGGGGAAGCAGACGGTAAATGTAATTGGCTGTGAAGAAGCAGTGACAACGAGCTGCACAACAAGACAGAGCATCATCGCGGAGCCCCGCACAATGAGAAGGGTCTCCGTGATTGGTTGATGAGTCGCTGACGATGAGCTGTCCTGCCGAACTGCGAAACCACAACACTGCACGGCTTGTACATTCGTAGACAGAACTCGCCGGATGATGGCAGATGGGAGCTTGCTGATGCCACCGCCGCCGCCTCCTACTTTCCGGGCGCCCACGCGCGATAGCGTCACCGTAAGGGCGGGGCGCTCTTCGACGATGGACGAACAAGACCTGTCCTTCATGGACAGCGAGGTGAGTGAGGAGAGTTTCGACAGGGCGGAGCAACATGTCTACTCGACAATGTGGCACACTTCAATAGCTGAGAGACACCCTCGTCAACTAGACGATGTGGCAGATGGTGGTACAACATTGTACGCCGCCGTGTTGCGGGGCAATCGTCGACGTAGGCGGTGTGCAAGGCACCACCTCTAGCCCTGTGCTGAACCTTGTCAAGCTTCTCCTGGTCGAACTCACACGACCGACCGATTGGTGACACAAGCCCTCATTTTTTGGGCAAGACTGCACTCGTCTTCGTCTCTCTCAGAGCACGTCGTCTCCCCAACTCTTTCACGCTTTTCCCTTTTAGACTGCTGTGATGGGAAATCATTTTGTCACCACCCGTACAGCAGCGGTACATAAGAGCGCGGACCAAAGCCACAACTATTCCAACATACCACCCACGACGTTGTGCCTCTTTTACCCTCATATCCATGTGTAGCAGCACAACGTTTCCTTTCAAGTGTATCACTCTCTACGACGGGTCAATGTTACTACTTATTGCGAACTCCTTGCAGCGCAAAAACGCAGTGTCATTTTCCCGAAAGCAAGGAGACAGGGTTGAGGAAGCAAAGGGCATCGCCCGTAGGTTTTCCACGCCTGAGACGCGACTCCAAAGTATTCCTCACGATGTATTTCTTACCGCAAACACCTGCTAGAGGTTTTGACCAGGTACTGCTTTATTGAAGTATTTACACAGTACACCACATGCTTTCCATGACGATGGACACAGATACAGCAGTAGAGGGTATGCATACGTGCATGACCTCTGCGCAGCGTTAATGAGCCAGTGGTCGGTCAACACCGACCCTCCCCCCCTCCCCCCCCCGCCGCGGCCTAGTCACCACGTGGTATGCCCTGCAACAGCAATTAGGGCGTGGGCTAACATGGCGAGCGCTCACCCGACTCACTGCGGGCAACCATGGAGCAGCAGTGAACTCAGATTTACCCTCTGATTGGTCGACCACAATCAGTAGTTATTTCGGCGCCAGCACGTATTTCCCAAGTGTATGGTTGACGCACCAGCCGATGCCGCATAGGAGGGAGGTAAAACATAAAAGTTTGGTTTGTTTCTTTACTTTTCCCCCCTGCAGCGCTGCCTCCAGTTTCATATCAGATGTGTAAGCACGGCGTGATGTCCTAAACGTCTCATGATACTTCCCATATGTATCAGTGAGAGCCCAGCCGCTTTTGCATAGTACCAGACAACACAACCTAACTGGAACATGGACGAGCTGATGATACTCTTGGTAAACCTTAAATAGACCAACTTATGCATATATTAGACTTCATGTAGCCTTTGAGACCATATGCAGTTACGCAACACGCCACGTCAATGCGTTTTCCGCTACCAACTTGCGAGCGCTGTTAACAACCCACAACCGACAACCAGAGGGTCTAGCCAACCACAAAAACGTGAGTCCGACGTAGAGCGGGATGTGAACGCGGGCAGCGGGAAAAAGCCTTGGACTCTCTCTGTACTCCGTGGTTTCGCTATGTAGCATCAACGGCGCTATACCGGGTGACCAACGAACAGACGGCAGAAAAACAAAACAAACCTGAACACCCCTTCTGGCCCGCATTCTCCCCTGTGCGTGTGTGCGTAGACATGTGATGACGGCTATCCACTCGATCGCCGCGGGGTAAGGCCACCGCCATGAGACTGCGATCGAGTTTAAAATACATGGCGTACGACGTAGGGGACATGTCGCAGCAGGCTCTTTCTCACGCCACAAGTTTGAACACCAGACCACAGTCCTCTGTTATAACGAGCTTAACATGCCGCCAAGGAGCCTATTTATATAACCTTCTTGCATGTCCGCGAGCAATTGAGCTGGCTCGCCTACAATGAAGTTCAATTTTGGTTAAACGATACGACACAGGGTATCAACACACGCTGCCTGGTCGCAAGCGATACGGCTGGGTACATTCTTCGGCATACCGTGCACGAAGGCCATCTGATCTGATCGGTCAACACCTCGTGTCACCCCCGCCGCTGCTGAAACTCACGCTTGGGGATTCCTGCTGCGGGTACTCTCGCGCAGGATGGCACCCCGGTAGTATCCGAAACGAGCCCTTCCTTTCCTTGTGCGACATTCAGGCCGGACATGGAATCACAGCCCTTGCTGCCCCATGCAATAACCGATACGCTGCGGGGACTGGGAACGCGATGGGCATCGATATCCCCCGAAGGAAACAAAGCAGTATTGCACCGCAACCTTGTTGCTCATGTGCCTTGTTGTCGTAGCTCTCCTATTGTGCTTGTCACGGTGTCATGCGTTTTGAGCCGTGACCCCCCCCCCCCCCCC